AATAAAGTTAAAAAGCAATAGGGTGTTAACAGTTTCCTGCTGAATGCTTGTGGAAATAGTGCTTTCTTAAATGTGTGCAGCAGGACCCTTGGGTGCAAGAGACAGGCTGCCAGTAAGCCCACTAGGAAAGCCAGCCGCCGACTGGCTCACTCACGCCCCTGGGAGGCGAGGCCCCTGCGAGGCGAGGCCCCTGCGAGGCGAGGCCCCTGCGAGGCGAGGCCCCTGCGAGGCGAGGCCCCTGCGAGGCTGCGAGGCGAGGCCCCTGCGAGGCGAGGCCCCTGCGAGGCGAGGCCTGTGGCAGTGCTCCAGGTACAACTACCCTGGGGCTTTCTCTGGCCGGGGCTTTCTTTCTTCTGTGTCCACATGGGTGGTGGTCCCAGCAGCTGTCCAGATGCTGCTCACAACTCCTGGTCACATTCCAAGTTGAGCCACCCGGGGAACAGAGGGTCTTGTTTTGTTTTGTTTTCCATAGAAGAACTACGCTCAGGCCAGCTATGTGGGGGCTGTAAGAGAACTCCCCAGAGACAGAATGGGGGCAGAACAGCCGGATCCACTGAAATCCACTGCTGAGGGGAGCAGTGGGGAGCCTGGAGGGGTCTGCTGTGCCCTGTGGGTCAGTTCCAGTGATTGTCTGAGACCTAACTCCCAGGCCACCAGGGTGGCCCCAAAGCTTCTCTATGGCATAGTGCATACCAGTCCCAGGAGAAGGCCTCTGACTGGCCCTCCTGGGGGTACGGGCCCACTTTCTGGACCAATCATTGCTGGAGGGTACTGTGATTAGTTAGGAGCAGGTCCTGGCACAGGGGCGGAGGCTGGTTGCCAGGGAGAGGAACACCTCACTCCTGCTGTTCCTTCCTCACAATCTGGCACTTACGAGGTGCCCAGTGATTGATTCTACTCCCTCCTCTCCCCTTTGCATTGGTTCCACCCAAGCAAATCACAGCAAACAAGCATTTTTTGATGCATGTGATATGTCACCATCAAACACTATTTTGCTCTTTCTCCCCAGTGGGCCAAAGAATTGACCTTTCTTGAAAAACACTTCTAATTATGAAAATAGCATAGACTAGGGGCATTTTAGAAATTGGCCTACTTGGAACCATCATAAGTGAAATTTTTTTTTTTAAAGATTTATTTATTTATTCATACAGAACTGGGGTACAGGCCAGAGGCTCAGGGGCAGTAAGAGGCTTCACCAGAGACAGAGTGGGGAGCAGAACAGGCAGATCTACGAAGTGCACTGCTGAGGGGAGCAGCGGGCGGGTCAGGAGAGGTCTGCCGCGCCATGTGGTCACCTCCGGGGCAGGCAGGAATCGAACTCATGCTGAAGTGGCTTTAGCTTCTCAGTGCTGTGCTTTAACCCGCTGCGCCACCAGGGAGGGCCATAAATGAAATCTTAACACCGCACCCCATGACCAGAGAACAGTGCTGATGGCGTAAAAAATAAGGCCAAAAGCAGTCACCAAGCAGCACTGATGGTATGTGCGCATGCACGTCCGTGACATTGCGAGGATGGCAGACGCCAGCAGCCGCGTCTGCAGGCTGCAGTGGCCAGGAGTGACTCCGGGTTCCCCCACCTGGTCTCCTTCAGAGCAGGCAGCCGAGCCCAGTGCTCGCCTTGCCTTGTTCTCGCCAATTCATCACGCCTGTCTTCACGTGCAGAGGCTTTCATGACGGCCAGACACCTGTCAGTGCTGGGCTGTGGGTCCCTGTCTCCTCCCCGCCCCCTCCCCACGGGGAGCCCTGTGCAGCTGGGGTGCCCACCTCCCTGGTTAGGGGTGACTGGACTGTGGATGGACCCTGGCCAGTCTAGGTGAGTTGGATTCTCAGTCCTGGGAATTTGGAATAGGGCTGAAGTCCTAGGAAGTGGCTCTGCAGGTGGCTTCTGGAAGCGTAACTCAGCGTGGGGTGGCTAGGACACTTTCCAGTTCTCCACAGCATACCAGTCTTTGTGGACTGTAAATAGGAAGACAAACAAGGCTGGGCAGTTGGAGAAGTTGTCATTCAGAGGCTGGTGATTACAGTGAAAATTGGTGAGAATGTCTGGCATGCTCTGTGGAAGGCCAGGCGTCTTCAGGTTGAGCTGGATGGTTTTCTTCTTTAACTGCCTAGATTGAGGATCCCTGCGGGGTGCCAGGGCCTCTGTGGGTCCTGCCGAGCAGGCTGTGTGAGAGTTCATGGCATGGATCTGTGGAGTGGGGGCCTCTCCTATAACCACAGGCATGGTCACCCGCTCTGGGCCCTTTGGCTATTGCTCAACTCAGGACAGCACCTGTCTCCCCACAAGGAGGGGTCCCTTGTTCTGTGCTGGCCTTATGGAGCAGTGGGGAGGGGCGGGGGGGTGAGGGGCTCCTGTGACTATTTCAAGAACAGGTTTGGTCCTGCTGACTGGGGCTTCCCTCCTCTCCAGTTATGGCTCATATTTGCAGATCTGAGACTTTGCTTCCTCAGCTCTTCCCAGAGACCCCGGCCAGGTGGTCCCTACTTGGCCTTGACCCTACGCCGGCCCTCCTTCAGTCACCCCATAGCCGAGGCTTCTTCGGAGCCCGTGTTCTGTGTCCCGGCGCCACATTCTGCAGCAGACATGGCCTTCGCTGGTCTCTACTGAGAGTCTCGGAGGCTGCAAGTGGTGGACATGACTGCCCAGCCCCGCTGTGCTGACCACAGCGCCTCCGCATAGCTGCAGGCCCTGGGGTGTGGGCAGCCCCTCTGGCCTCCCGTTGGTGACACCCCCTGTGGAGTCAGGGGCCTGTGTGAGAATGACGGGGTTTGAGGGGGTAGGTGGAACTGAAGACCATTTGAAGGCGACCCATTTCCCGCTGGAGATGCAGAGTTGGCTGGTAAAGCACCTGCACTGGAATTTGGAAATTCTGTTGGGAAATGTGGGAGTTTTTCCAAATCAAAAGTTGGAAAAGTTGGTCCTGGGGATTCTCTGGGGGCAAAAACATGGACGTGGTTTTCCAGCTCACTCAGGGTAAAGTTTTATCCCCTTGGGGAAGCCAGTTTTGAGTGGAGAAGGCCTGAGACCAGCCTGACCTGGGGTCTCCTGGAGCCGTGGGGAAGACTTTCTGTGGAGACTTGGGCTGTGTCCCTCTGGATTCTTGCCAGGCAGAAAGATAATTTATTGGTCAGACAGCTATCACTTATCAAAAATACTTTCAAGAAGAGAAGTGAAAGAGCGCAAAATTGCCTTAAGGGAGAGAGAGGGGTCCTTGCATACTTCTTCATTTAAATTGTTATTCAAAAAATGTCAATAATAAAGATAGTAAACAAAACATTATCCCATTGTGGCCTTAGTCCAATCTGGAGGCAGAAGATGGGTTATATAATAAACAAGGTGGGAATTACTAACTCACCGTTTGACAGAAAATAAGGTTAATGATCAACTTCACATGATAGATCAGAATAAATTTCAGAGATTAAATATTTACGTGTGAAAAAAAGAAGCCATAAAAGCAGGAGACAAAAACATGCTGATTGTTTCTGTAACCTTGGAGGGGAGGAAGTTTTCTCTAAGTGTAAGGCAAGAAAAGGATCAACTTTTAAAAGTCAAATAAAATTAAGAGGCAGGTGGTAGAGCTAAAGTATTTGAAATGACCAGATGGATAGCGGTCTCCTGGAAGGCACCAAGCTTTGGCCATCAGTGGGAGATCAGAACGATCTTAAAAACATGAGAAATCTGGGCCCTCCCTGGTGGCGCAGCGGGTTAAAGCACAACATTAAGAAGCTAAAGCCACTTCCGCATGAGTTCGATCCCCGCCTGCCCTGGAGGTGACCACATGGCGCGGCAGACCTCTCCTGACCCGCCCGCTGCTCCCCTCAGCAGTGTACTTCGTCCATCTGCCTGTTCTGCTCCCCACTCTGTCTCTGGTGAATCCCCACCCTCCACATCTCTGGCCTGCACCCCAGTTCTGTATGAATAAATAAATCTTTAAAAAAAAAACAAAACATGAGAAATCTTAGATTTGTCCATTTAAAAACAGTAATACAGGTCTCTTGGATCCTTTCATTGGTGGCTTTAAAAATAGGATGTTGTCCATGTCAGCTTTTATACATGATGCTTCTCAAACCACCGAGTAAATGTTCCCCAGGGATGCATCGGCGTAAGCGCTGAGAGGGGGACTCACTTTTTTGGTCAACGTTTCGCCAAGTCCCCTCCAGAAAGTTTGAACGTACACTCCCAACCCCTGGAAGAGAGGGAGCCCGTTCCTGCATCCTTGCAAAGAGTGCGCAGGTTTTCTTTTCTTTTTAAAGATTTTATTATTTAGGCATTTAAGAGCTGGGGTACAGGCCAGAGGTGCAGGAGATGAGAGGACTCACCAGCATCAGAGTGGGGAGCAGAACAGGGAGACATACGAAGCCCACTGCTGAGGGGAGCAGCGGGGAGACAGGAGGGGTCTGCTGCGCCCTGGGGTCACCTCCGGCTGAGGCGCCAACAGCGAACAGCGAAGGCTGCGCGCAGCAGCGGCTGAGACAGCTTCATAGTTCTGTGCTTTCACCCCTCGAGCCCCCAGGAGGGCCGGAGCGGGCATATTTTCACTGCTGAGTGTGATGAGGGAACCGCTGTGTCCCCCACACCCCACACATATATCCCCCTCGATGGGCTTGGCAACTGTGACTTTTGCTGGGGCGGAGGGGACTGCTGGCCACTCTCGGTGACCCTGACCATGACCGTGACCGAGCCCGCCCTTCTCTGCAGTTCCTGCTCATATTCCACAAGGCCGCCGCCGGGGAGCTGCAGGAGGACAGTGGGCTGATGGCGCTGGCAAAGCTGTCCGAGATCAACGTTGCCCTGGAGGGCGTCAAGGGTGCCAAGGACTTCTTTGAAGCCAAGGTAGGTGCCTGGCTCCTGTGCGGGACGACCCCTCCCCCTTGACGCAGGGGGAGCTCCCCAGGACAGCAACAGCTCGACATACACGTGCTGTGCCCCATGGCAGAGAGGAGGTGCACGTGTGTGCAAGCTGAAAATGCAAATGCAAAATGGCGTGGTAAACGCCACTGGTCTGGTTTTGGGCTCAGCAGATTTACTGGTATGATGCTCCCGGTCTCGATCCAGAATTGCCTAAAAGATCTTCTTTCCCAAGCCACTGTTGCATTGCTTGAAGAGTTACCTCCATGACACCGTATGTAGGTGAGGGGCAGGGGAGAAGCTGGTGTATGCTCCATTCACAGGGATGGGAGCTGGACGGACTCTCCATGGTCCCGGCATCCTTCTGGAAGCTTCCATCCCTTGTTCATCCAGTCACTGAGCATGTAGGGCGAGCCCACCCCTGGCTGGGCTCCAAATCTTAGAGACGTGCAATTCAGGGGGTCAGGCTGCCGGGTTTATCTTGTTTCTTCCGCGCTCCCCGTTAATAATCTGTGCTTCAGTTAACTCTCCTGCACAACCGGGACGGTTGTTGGGTTGCCGTGAAGGTGACACTCTGGGTCAGGTGCTCAGCGAGCTGGCCCCTGCCTCCCGGAGGCTGCCCCTTGAGACGCCCTGGCTTACCCCAGAGGTCTGCTGGGAGGCCAGAGATGTCCACGTTGGCACAGGCGACGCCTAGGCAGGGCTCCTCTCCTCTGTGGTGCCACCGGGAGACAGACTCCAGCCCACGGTGGCCTGGTGCCCCCTGGTGTCTGAATCCGGAAAGCATCTGACAGCATCAGGGACAGGCCAGCAGCTCGCTGCAGGGTGCCGGGAGCCCCAGGCCCACCCTGGCATAGGCGGGGCCCTTTCTTCATGGTGGGGCGGCACTTCCCCAACTGCCAGGCACCTCCCCAAGGCCTGGGGATGCTGCTGCTTCGCAAGGGGGTGGCAGACCCGACGTCGGGCCTCCCCAGGGCGCATACTCCCTCCCGCGAGGAATAGGGGTGAGAGGAGGGCCCCCCACTCACCCAGTGAATGCACATTCACACAGTGGGTCTGCATGTCCTGGGCAGGCGCCGAGAGCACACGCCTCCCCTGGGCCCGAGCCTGGCAGGGGGACGTCTCCGGAGGCGCTTGACACGCTCCACCTCTTGCCTTGTCACACTAGCACCACCCCCACCCCGTTTCCTCTCCAGCGACACCCCCTCCCCAGCCTCTTCCTAGAAAACTCTACTCCTCCTTCAAAACCCCTGTGAGGGGACCTGTCGCGTCCTCTCGGCTCCTTCCTGTGCCTCCACTGGACAGCGCCCAGCCCTTACCGTGAGCGCTGCCGTCAGGCATCTGTCCCGGGCTCGCTCAGCATCTTTTCGGGGAGCTCCTTGGCTCTGCTTTCTGGAGGGCAGCTAGGTGGGCCGTCACCACGCACATCCTTCTGCTCTGGGATCTGCGCCTAGGACTGTGCCCCCCAGGTACACACACAGGCCAGCGCGCTGGACCTGCAGACGCAGCATGGTGGGTAGAGGGAGAATCTGGAAGCACCAAAACCCCCATGTCCAGGAGCCGAGTCCACACGCCGCCCCCAGGCCCTGCAGCTGTGGAAGCAGAGGCGGGTGGACTGACGTGTGGAGAAGCCCAGCAAGCCGCACGCTTGAGATCCCACTTTGTTATGTATTCAGCACAGCGCGGCTAATGACGTATGCCAACGTATCAGTGATGGTGGCGGGTGAGGGACTTTTTAAGAAATAGATTTTGGTAATGTTTTATAACATGCGTGTGCTGTTTTTTTGTAACCAGGAGAAAAGATGAAAAGAATGACAGTAACATTGTGAACTGGTTATGTTTATGGTCTGCCTCCTCGCCCAGACTCAAAGGCAGAGTGGGTGTTTATCTTGGTAATTACAGTGCCCGCTGGCTCGGGGCCTCAATAAACGTTTGCATGAATGACGAAGGAGGGCCTCATCGCTCAGATTTGGGAGAGGGCCCCAAAGGAGCAGACGTTGTGACAGATGTTCAGAGATGAAGGAGGAGTCACCTTGTAATCAGGGAGGGCGGGCGTTCCACCGTGGGAAAGACCGAGGGCGTTCCCGTCCTGGAGGCACAGAGGGTAAGGACAGTCCCCTGTCCTCGCTGGATGTGACTGGACAGGGCGCGCTGGGCTTCCCGAGGTCAGGCCTTCCCCAGCCTGCCGACACTGCATCCTCAGACCAGCCCTCCGGGCCCCACCCAGATGGAAGCTGGGGTGTGTCCAGGGAGCTGGCCAGTGGGAGGGCTTCCCAGCCCACAGCGCTCTTGGAAAGCACAGCTGGAGGCCTTGAGCGCCGGAGGGGCTGGGAGCGAGTGGGGCGAATCCACCCGGGACTCGAGACCGCGTGACGGGAGGCTTGGCACAGCAGTGGGCGAGGTGGCAGAGCTGTGTGGAGGGAGTTGGCCGGATTAAAAAAATCGAGACTGGCATCCCCTCCCCTCAAGAGTGGGAATGGTCTGAGGAGAAAAGGTATAAGCTGGGTTTAATTTTATTTTTGTTTGCATATTTTATTTATTTACACATACAAGAACTGGGGTGCAGGTCAGAGGTGTGGGGGGTGGGGGTGGTGAGAGGATTCTCCAGAGACAGAATGGGGAGCAGAACAGGCAGACTGACTGGAACACACAGAACAGGCAGGTGGCCCGGAGGGAGCAGCGGGGGACGAGGGGTCTGCTGCGCCCCGCGGTCACTCCCTTGCTGGGGATCGAACTCATGCTGAAGCGGCTGCTGGTAGCTTGATAGCGCTGAGACTTTGACCCCCTGCGCCACCAGGGTGGCCCATGAACTGAGTTTCAGGATAAAATCTGAGGAGTCTTCAGGCCAAGAAAAGGCACGTCCTCCCATGTGAAAGGCAGTTTTGGGGGGGTGTAGTTTCCCCTCAGCCCTGTCTCACAGCAGAAGGCCACCCCAACTGCACGGAAGGCTCCAACGTGGCTTTCCCCAGGAACCACGAGCCCACCAGTGATTCTGCTGCTGGAGAAGATGAGGCTCCTGGCAGCCCAGCTCTGTATGCATATGGCGGACCCGGCACCACCTTGGGTCCTCAAAGGAACGGCTCCTTGGGTTTGCTAAGGTCTTGCATCTGTAGCCCGCCTGTGGTGGCAACTGAAAAGAAGCTAGGACTCCAGTGGACTGTTGGTTCATAGATCACTGGTGCCTGTAAGACAAAGTAAAGACGGATGCCAGAAGTTTGCTCACTTCTCAATGACGTGAGTGACTTCTTTGCTGAATTTCATAATAGTTTTTAAATATTGGAAGAACATTCTTTCATTTTGGGGAGTAATGCATAGGAAGAAAGCTATCGACACATACTTTAAGATTTAATTTGCATTTTGAACATGTTCTAATCATTTTTTAAAAGATTTACTTATTTGTGCACACAGAACTGGGGTGCAGGCCAGAGGTGCAGGGGGGTGAGAGGCTTCACCAGAGATAGAGTGGGGAGCAGAACAGGCCGAATGACGAAGTGCACCGCCGAGGGGAGCAGCGGGCGGGTCAGGAGAGGTCTGCCGTGCCCTGGGGGTCCCTGCCTGGCCGGGGATCGAACTTGTGAAGTGTCTGCGCCTGGCTTCGTCATGCTGCGCTCACTCCATTGTGCCACCAGCGAGGGCCCATGTTCCGATCATTTCTTAAGAAAAGATGGTCTAGACAGCTCATCTGTAGCAGGGGTTGGTTCCCGTGGAGTAAACACTCACACCAGGCTCACAGTCAAGCTGTTTTTAAGACAGTGAGTGTGGAACTATGAGGAATGATAAAGATATTTATGAGCAGAAGTTCAGCAACTCTGCCAGCCCACACTTTGCCCCTCAGGCAGCTGAGTGCTGCGGCGTAAGGGGGCATAAGGGGGCCAGCTCTCAACAGGGTACAGTGCCACAAAGTCGATTCACCCATTGAAAATGATTGTATCACATGCGTTCTCGGGAGCTATGATTCTCCCAACAAAACCAAATAAAAGTAATACGTCCTAAAAAAAATCAGTTTCATGAATATAACAGGAACAATCTTAACACAGTAAGAAATGGAATGGAGTTGGGACATTTGAAATTGATGTTCAGTTTGAAAAATCTTTAAATATATTCATATAGAGAAAAATCTTTAAATATATTCATATAGAGTGATCAAATAAGAACAATACGATCGTCTCAGTTACAAGTATCCGAAACACTTGGCGCAGTTTAATCCTTATTCATAATAGCAGATTTTAAAATAAAATAACACGCTTCTTCAACATGATGAAGGAACATTTACTTTCTTAATTAAGGTCAAGGCGTTCTAAAAGCAATAATGTTAAGTAAAGTGGTGTGGGTACAGGAATAAATACACCAGTTAGTGGGACAAGGTAGGAAATAATCAAAAAAACTCCTTCGGGTGGGGGTGTAGGGTATGGAGAAGACATCCGGTCAGTGACATGGAGCTCTTTAAGAAAAGGCACTGGGCCTCCTTGGTGGCCTAGGGGTTAAGTCTCAGCACTGTCACCACTAGGGCCTGAGTCCGATCCCCAGCGAGGGAGGGACCCACAGGGCGCAGCAGGCCCCTCCTGTCTCCCCGCTGCTCCCTCAGCAGCAGATCTCAGGGGATCCGCCTGTTTTCCTCATTCTGTCATTGATGGATCCTCTCACTCCTCCCACAGCTCTGGCCTACTGCCCAGTTTTCAAAACAAAACAAAACAAAAAAAGTATTGAGATCGTTGACTGTCCACCTAAATAAGTGAAGTAAGTCCCCTTTGACTAAAATAAGCTTAGATGACTTAAAAAACTGAACATAAACATAAGTTTTAGAAGAACACATAGGAGAGTAGGTTTAAAACTTTCAAGGTATGGAAGACCTTATTAATCATCGTGTAAAATGGAAAAGCAGAATAGAAATGGGTGGAATAGAATATAAATAGTCATGGTTGGAATTTTGATTGTGTCAAAATTGAAATATTTGTATGACCTGAGAAACCTTAAAATTAAAAGATTGAGAGAAAAAAACGGAAAAGTATGGAACAAGGGATTGATAAATTATGTAAAGAATTACAAATTAAAGAAAAACAGTTAAATAGAAAAATGAATTGACAAGTGGTTAATTCATCAAAAAGGAGAAAAAGAAGGGCCTGGTTTCTTGCCTATCAGATTAGCCAATAGGAAAAATGGTAATGATACAGATTATGGTGGGGGGAGCTGAATGGATCCAGTTTGTTGGAGGTGTGAAGAGAAAAAGCTACTTGGGTGAGAAATTCAGCAGTCGCTATGAAAAGAATGCGTTCGGAAATCGGACCAAATTGTTGAGCCACTCACAGAAAAAAACTCTGCTCTGGGGTAGAACATCTCAAGATGGATGTCACTGATGTGGCATCTGAAAATCAAATTTAAAAAATGGTACGAAAGCCTGTTCACAACACCGACAGAAACGCAGCAGGTTTGGAAGTAAATTTGGATAGACTGAGAGAAAGCTGAATGTTTTAGTGGGCCTTATAAAAGCAGTGTTGAATCTAGGGAAGATGCTTGCCGGCCCCCATCCTTGCAGGGAGCTCGTTTTGTAACCCCCATACCCCCCGAATGAAACCATATTATCTCGAAAGTAAGGTTAGAACTGCAGTGGGTAACGGTGAGGATGCTAAGTCGCATCCTGGTACGGGAATGAAGACGGGAACAGGCAGGGCTAGGGCAAAGTATCCTTGCTGTTGGGGAGCAAACTTTGGAGGAAGCAGGTGACCAGAGGAGTGTTTTTTGAGGGGGTCCTCCCCCCACCAAGACCAGGGGCCTGTGTCACATGGCTGGACACTACCTAGCTCGATTTGAGGCCCTCCCCCTGTCCACGCGTCTCTCCCCTCCCTCACCCTGGGGTCTGTTTTTGGCTGTTTCTCCGCAGGTCCGAGCCTTGGCCTCTGCCAGTAAGTTCGAAGCTGAGTTAAAAGCTGAGCAGGAGGAACGGAAGCAAGAGGAGGAGAAGAGGAGGGCCCGCCAGGCGGCCTTCAGGGAACTGAAGGCCACTTTCAGCGCATAGTGGATGACCCTGACCTCTGTCCACAGCTGTGCCTCACAGACCCCTCCCCCGGCCCTCAGGAAGCTGATGGGCGTCCTCACCACCCAGGCCCCTGCCCAGCCAGCCTCCGCATCTCTGCTCAATGCAACTCCCTCACCTGGTGGTGGTAGCTCTCGTGCCAGGGTAGAGCCCTCCAGAGAGGCCTGGGAGGAGCCGGCCTCCAGCCTCTCTCTGCCCGCTTCCGTCTGACCTTCTCTGTAGCCAGAAGTGCCTTGCCTTTTGCTTTGCCTCTCTGCCACTCTTCTCGGAGAGTGGCCGGCTGTGCTAACTTGCGCAGCTCCCCGCTTGGCCATCTTCAGAGGGGACGGTCCCTGGAGGAGTAGGACTCCTGTGGGACTCGTCTCTGGCCCTCTCCCTCCCACGCCCTGTGCTCACTGGACCTGACTCTCCCACTCCCTTGGGGAGGCTTCCCTTGACCTTGGGGAGGCTTGCGGGGAGCCAGGATGGACCAGGGCCCACCTCCTCTCCAGCAGGGGGCGCAGCACGGTGACCAGCGGACAGCACAGAGAAAAGACTGGAAGTTTCATCCTGGCCATCGCCTTTCTCCTGGCCTCTTCACCCCCCTGCACACATCTCTTTCCCGTCCAGGCTTTTTTTGACTCCGAAACACTGTACTGCTTAACTGTCAGCGTGAAAGAATAGTTGGAAGTCCTATGAAGCGTAGGAGCGTTCATGCTAACACTGACCTATGCAAGTCACATGACAGTAGACCCCTGACGTTCCGCGTGACACATCCAGAACCTTTCAGAACCCCAAAAGTCGTGACCAGCCTCATCATCTAGTCACTTTCCAGCACTACTCCACCGTGGAGGGACGCTGTGCCCACCACCAGCACCAGCGTCCTGGGCTGTTCCTTCTTGGGATGGCTCAAGTGCCAGGGGATGTTGTATTTTTAAAAATAATTCCTGACATCCTATTTATTACTTCTCTTTTGTAACTACTGTCTTTACCATGAAAAAAACATGGGCATTTCTAACTTACAGCCACTTCTTTTTAAATAAAGCTGTGCAGATGAACTTGGCCTTCACCTCAATGTGCTTCTAGTCTTTGAATTGGGAGGGAGAGGAGAGTGTTTCTTTGGGGGCCAGGTCCAGCCCAGGCACCTGTTTGACACTGAGTCCCCGAAGTACAGTTACAGGGGGCATCTGGGGACTGGGGTCTCCTGCCAGCACATTCTGACTACTGAACTCGTCTGTCCGCTAGGATTCTTCCCATAGCTGCTAAAGTCTGCTTCAGTTCTTTGGCTTCCTAGACCCCTTGAGATGTGTGAAGGCCGATGAGCCCTCATTCCATGACTAATCCCAGGGTGTTCGGGGAAGCCAGGCTGAGGACCCCTGCCCTAAGAGGATACCTTTAGCTCCCCACAGTGGGTCACTGTCTCTGCGTAAACCGAGAGCGATGCCCCGGGCATGTTTCTCCCGGGTAGGGTCCCCTCCAGCATGAGAAGGAGCAGAGACCCCGGCTGCGCCAGCTGGCAAGCTTAATTCCTGGGATTGAGCCATGTGAGTGGACACTTGTATTTCACAAAAGTAGCTGCACGTGAGTGGTAAAAGCAGTATTCGTTATTAATTATTGTCCACACTTGGCAGTGGCCGGGATGTTCTTCCATAGGCGGTGGAGAAGCAAACAGGACTAGTCATTCAGTGAGGAAAGGCTCCTTGACAACGAAAAGAAGGGAGCTCTCAACGAGGAGACAGAGGTGCTCACGGCTGAGGGAGAGCAGCCTCTCTGAGGGGCGCCCCACTGCCCTGCAAATGACAAGGCTGGGGATGGAGGGTCAGGGGCTGTCAGCGACGCAGAAGGGGGGAGGATGGGGGAGACACTTTAAGGCAGGTGAATTCTGTTCTGTGCCACACTGTCATGGTTGATACAAGTCATTGTAGTCAAAGGTAGAAGAATGTGCAAACCTAGAGTCCCTGGTGGCCCAGGGCTGAGCTTCGGCGCTGTGAAGCTGCCGCAGCCACTGCAGCACTGAGTTCGACCCCAGGGAGGGACTCGAGGCGCAGCAGACCCCTCCTGTCTCCCCGCTGCTCCCCTCAGCCGTGGGTTTGAGTCAATCTGCCTGTTCTGCCCACTCTGTGACTGTGAATCCTCTCACCCCCCACACCTCTGGCCTGCACCCCACTGCTTGTACGCATAAATAAATAATTATCTTTGATAATAATCATAACGTATCAGCACAGCTACATCAAATATAGCAAGTGTATGACTACCACACTAAGTCAGAGAGGGGCTTTATCGTCTGCTAAGTTATTCTGCAAATCTGAAACTACTCTAAAATCTGACAAAAAAGAAAAAGAAAGAAATGGAGACAGCAGTGTCCTTATGCAAAAACACCCTTCTGCCTCTTTGGACACCTGGCCGATGCGAGAGCTCAAGTCCCTGAATGTCAGACGACAGACGGTGACCCAGACGGGGACAAACAGGGGCGTGGGGCCTCTCACCATAGGTCTCCGCGGCCTTGACCCCCACTGGCCTGCTTCTGCATCTCTGAGGCAGTTTCCTGTCCCCCCTTTGTCCCCCCCAAGGGAGAACGAGCCTCAGAAATACAAGCTGTTCCTGACATCTCCCCTTCAACTTCTGAGGCTCCACTTTCAGTGTCTGCCCCAGCTGGCCTCTCCTGCTCCTCTGACCTCCCTCTGGAGCATCCTTTTCTCTCTCTGAACTGTATGCTCCAGGTAGATGCACGTGACATTCTAGCACTTTCTAGAACATGCCACTCCTCCGACTTTGGTACAGACTGTTTTCTCTCCCTGGCGCTCCTTCCCTCTCTTCCCCTGGCATGTTGCTTCTCATTTTTCCTGACTCAGCCTAAAGAGTATCTTCAGGAAGCTTCTCAGTTCCCAGGGGAGGTGAAGTGTCGCTACTCGGGGCTCCCGTTGCACCCCGAGTTGTTCCCCATTGCAGTCCTCACAGCATTATGCAGTGTCCCCCTTCCTTCCCGGCTTCTCCCTTTGGACTATGAACACCGCCCGACCTGCAGCAGTGGGAGCAGCCTTGCGGCATGTGGCAAGCACTCATGCCATGTGTTTTGCAAGGACATAAGAGGTTTGTTGAACAAAAATGGAAAAGGGAGGACCGCTACCCTGCATTCAGGGGCCTTCCACACCCCCTGCCATAGGAGACTGGCCTGAGGGGACCGTCGCCTGAAAAGTGAGGCCAGCAAAGATTGTGGGGACAGCTTTCTCCTTGGAAAGGTGAAGACCCTCTTTGGAGCAATAGGGAAACCCACCAACTAGATAAGCGACAAGCCAGTCAGTTCTGCCTGTGCCCTGGAAGCTAAGGGTTTGCAATGAGACTATAATGGTGGGCAGCAGCCTCATGGTACCTGCTTCCTCACCTGTGAAGTGGGGTGATGGTGATGATGGTGATGAAGGACCTGGAAGGCCTGTGCCTCGTGGTTAGTGGGCTGTTAAAAATTGTGGGGTCAAAAAGGAGCTCTCTCCTGCACTGCTGGTGGGAATGCAAACTAGTACAACCACTATGGAAAACTGTTTGGAGGTTCCTCACACTGCTAAACATGGAGCTTCCCTACGACCCAGCAATCCCACTCCTAGGTATCTACCCAAAAGACACAAAAACACTGATTGAAAAAGACACCTGCACCCCCATGTTTATTGCTGCTTTATTTACAATTGGAAAAACATGGAAGCAGCCCAAATGCCCAAAAGTAGATGACTAGATTAAAAAGTGGTACATAGACACAATGGAATATTACTCAGCAACCAAAAAAAAAATTAAACATGTCTTTTGCAGCAACATGGATGGAGCTGGAGAAGATCATGCTTAGTGAGATAAGCCAGAAAGAAAAGGAAAAATACCAGATGGTTTCACTCATAGCAGTATAACGGACCAGGAGAGAAAATAACAATAATAATGAACAGCTATAGACCAGAGACATTTTATGGGGGTGGAGTGGGGATAGGATCAAAAATGGGGGGAGGGAATTGCACTGGACTGTGGTGATGGCACAGGGGTGATCTGGTGATGGGAAGCCCACGGGATTGCAACTGAGATGGAAAAAGGCACAAAATGATGTGAAAATAAGCTATTATTTTTAAAAAATTGTGGGGTCTTCCTGGTGGTGCAAGGGGTTAAAGTGCAGCACTATGAAGCTATCACTGCAGCACAAGTTCAATCCCTGGCCAGGGGGTGACCCACAGGGTGCAGCAGACCTCTCCTGTCTCCCCACTGCTCCCCTCAGCGGTGGATTTCAGTACATCTGCCTGTTATGCTCCCCACTCTGTCTCTGGTGAATACTTTCACCAGCCCCCCACCTCTGGCCTGTACCCCAGTTTTTGTATGCATAAATAAGTTGATCTTTTAAAAAAAAGAAAACTGTTAAAAATTGTAACTGTGTTATTTGCTTTAGCTTTAAAAAATACTCATCCCATAAGTTGGGGCTTTAAACAGTCATTAATGTCTACTAGTTCACAGTTCGGAGGGCCAGGAATTCACCAGTGGCTGAGAGCATTCGGGGCTTAGGCGTCATTGGTCCACCTGGGGCTGTGGTCACCTGAAGACTTGGGGCTGGAGGACCCACTTTCACCGTGCCTCCCTCATGCAGTTTTCAAGTCGAGTCTGGCCACTGGAGGCCTCTGTCACTCAACAGGGGACACTCCGCTGGGCAGCTTGAATGTCCTCACAACATGGCGGCTGGGCGCCCACAAAGCACGTGCTACATGAAGGAGCACGTGCAAACCGCACCGTGTTTTAAATACCCAGCTCAGAAATCACACTCCGCCAT